CACACACACACACACACACACACGACACACACACAACACACACACACCACACACACACAAACACACATATGCTTTAACACAGTTGGACACATTTTCTCTTCAAGTCAAAAAGCCTACACACTATATGTCCCCCCTTTTTAGTTATTATCATTTTTTAATGTATTTTGTATTTCAGCAGCTTTAAAATCAAAACTGCTCCACCTGTTGAAAAATCTGCTCAAAGAGATTGTTGGTCAACCCTGTCTGAGACTCTATGAATCATAACAACGTAGTGAGGCTGTCAACAACATCATCTCTGGACCCAACCATGTTCTGAACAGTGAATAATGAACTGCTACCATCTAATGGAGATACAGGGTCCCACCATTCATTAAAATCAGACTGAAGATCCTTTGTGCATCAGTCAATCCTCACAGTAAACACGAGCTAAATCCCAGATCAAATGCACGCTGAAGGCTCTTTGAGCATGTTTTCTCTCACTGATTGTGCTGTTGCCTTAAATGTTTGTTGTTTGTGTATTTTATATGTGTCTGGATACTTGTCTGTTGATGTTGGACATGGAGCTGCTGTGACGCAAGTCAAATTTCAGACTTGATCTGACAAAATAAAGTATTATCGTATTATTTTGTCTTTATTATTTGTGTTTTTATTCGTTATTATTTTATTTTTGGTGTTTTTTGCTCTTTATCATGGGAAATATATCAGGATGTGTAAGCGATACAATGCTGTGACCAATTTTCCAGTTCTTGTGAGGGTGGGGGGATTCTGTTTTTGTTTTCTTATATGTAACAAAGAGGGGTAGTTTCCTGTAATAAGGAACCAGGAAATGTAAAAAAATGGTTGTATTTTCTGTTAAATCTGCGCTCCTTAATAAAGAAAGAAAGAAAAAGCCTACACACAAACAGCTGCCTACTTACTACACACAGTCCCTGATGTCCTGGTCTCTCTCTGCTCAGACTCTGGACACGTCGGAGCTGCAGGGTGACGGGATCGTCCTGTCTCTGGAGGAGCAGCTGAACGCTCTGTGCCTCTCCTCCAGCCCCTCATCAGACCCTCAACACACTGACACTGTGGCCCTGAACGGCACTCGCTTCCCCTCAAAGCTGTTTGAAGACACCAGGGAGAGCACCAAGGTGGGCGTCCTTTGTGCAAAGCAGCCTAACTCTGCAACTAACCCACCGAATGTGTCTGATATCTGCTGGATGGCTATTGTTTTACTCACAGAAGGTTGAGGAGTTTGGATGTGCTCTCTGTTTCGTAAAGGTTGCACGTTTTTATTTTTATTTGAGCCCTTCTGTAACTCCTACATCATTTAAAAAGTCTATATAAATGATCAGAAGAAGCGATTGCTTGACAGTGGATGACTGACATAGCTTAAAGGCTACATGTACAAAGTGAGTGCATGTTGGTACAGAATATCACACACCTTCCTGTGTCAGTGGTGTTGTTTCGCTAAGATTTTATCAACAAATGAACTAACTATTCTTTCAGATTGCTGCTATCATCTCGGAACTGCATGCAATCAGAGAGAAGGGTGATGATCAGAAAAGGTAAAAAACTAATTTTTATTTTAATTTTATTGCGACTACCATATGAACAACTCTAAGACACCAATACATGTTACCGTCATGTGTGTAATCTACTTGTTGTTTCTGTCCTCTGGTCATGTGTAGCGTCATCGTGTCCCAGTGGACCAGCATGCTGAAGATCGTAGCCGTTCACCTGCGTCAGATGGGCCTGAGGTACGCTGTCATCGACGGGACGGTCAACCCCAAACGCCGCATGGACCTGGTGGAAGAATTCAACACGAACCCAGCCGGACCACAGGTACAACGCCACCGAAACTCTGCACTCGCATGTATATGCTGTCACACAAATGTAAATACCTAGTGGACGAAAGTTTCTAAAGTTTAGCTTAGAATCAGTTTTCCTAACTGGACTTCGACCAGTATAACAATTAACATATTGAGATTTTCTATATTAATATGTCCCTAATTTCAGAACTGCTATTATAATCAATGCACACTTTTAAAGTATATCAGGTTATATTAATATACACATAATAAGTTTGTTTTTTTGGGAAACTCGGATGCAAAATTGGTTACTTGAATAATCCTTGGTGTTTTTTTTTTATTGTATACATTTTCATAATTTAAAAGGAAATTGTGAATACCTTAATTGATTAATTTCAGCATGTTTTAGAATATTTGTAGGTAAATCAATAAAGTAAAGTGTAATAAGACAACGGGTGTGAAAGCAGAATACAACACTAAACCAGACGGACCAAAACTCTCTACTACACTCATTCATGTTGTCTCACAAATGTAAATACATAGTTGAAGAAAGTTTAGCTTAGGATCAGTTTTCCTGACTGGACTTCGACGAGTATTAACATATTGAGATTAAATGCAAAAAAAACTATGATTTAATATTTCTGTTTTTGTCCAAAAGGTGATGCTGGTGTCTCTTTGTGCTGGAGGGGTCGGACTTAATCTGATTGGTGGAAATCACCTCTTCCTCATTGACATGCACTGGTGAGACACGCACACAAACGGATGAATGTGTAATGCTACTAATGAAGTGAGCTTTTTTTGGACATGTTCAGGTTGAGAAAGGTAGGTGTTTTAACCTCTGAATACTTTTGAACTCTGACAGGAACC